CCCAGACACAAAAAAAAAAAAAAAAAAAAAAAAAAAAAATCAAAATCAGAATGAAAACAGGTTAAATTACACGTTTGACTAAACAGTGCCTAAGAGTAGGAAAGATAAGTAGAAAAACTGATATACTTTAACATGAAATTTAAAGGAATATACAGCATATCAAAAAGGTGCTTCAAGGAATTAAAAATACATTTAAAAAATTCTAATTCACAAAATTGAAGGAACTTATATAAAAGATAAATAGACATAGGTCGGATATTTAGCTCAGTGGTTCCACCACCTGCCTTGCAAGAGCATCGACCCAAGTTCAATCCTCAGTACACCCTATCCCCCTAAAAAAGACAATGATACCAAGAGTTTTAAGAATAGAAAAAGATAATCCTGGCACTCAGGAATCACCCTATCCCCCTAAAAAAGACAATGATACCAAGAGTTTTAAGAATAGAAAAAGATACCCCTGGCACTCAGGAAACTGAGGCAGGAGGATCACTGTGAGTTTGAGACCAGCCTGAGCTACATAGTGAGTTCCAGGTCAGTCTCAACTACATGGTGAGACCCCGTCTCAAACAAACAAACAAACAAACAAAAAAATAGAAAAAGAATGAGATAAAGATAGAAATCATTCCTTTTTAGTGTAGATTATTACACTAATTCTAAGAATATAATAATCTCTTCCTTAGAGGGGTTTATTATTTCTTAGTGGGAGAGGCAGCTAAGTGAGAAATTAGAATAAACAACTTTATGTTAAAAAAATTTACCAACTTGGATGACATGGACAACTTTCTTTAAAAATACAATCTAATAAAATGTCTACAAAAGAAAGTTTTATGTTATTATCTATTTCTTTTTTTGAAAGAATTTTAGTAGTTTATGTCGTAGTCTTGAGTAACTACTTTGAAGATAACAACAGATACACAGTGTATCAACTATTGTTCTCTTACTTTCTTATGAAGTTTTATTTTTTCATAAAATAAAAAAAGATGACAAAAATCTGAATTGCCCTATCCCTATTTAGAAAACTGTATTTATCATTTAAAAATAAAAGAGCTGCCCTAAAAAAATGAAACAACTCAAGAGTTGGGTGATTCACTGGTGAATTCTATTAAAGTTTCATGGAAGAATATAAATTCTATGAAAACTTTCAGAAAACTGAAATCGGCTATTTCCTAGTTGATATTATGAGACCAACATAATACTAACAGCAAAATCTGTCAAAGATTACAACAAAAGAAAATTATAGACCATCATCCTCATGAATGTAGACATAAAATACTTAATAAAATAATAGTAAATTCCAGTAATTAAAACAAGGACAAAAAAGTAAATATTATGACCAAGTAGAGTTTATCCCAGGAATGAAAGGTTCATTTAGGGTTTGAAAATCAATTGCCATGTTTTGCAAATATTTTCTAGTCTGAAACATGTCTATTCATTTTCTTAATGAGGTCTCTCTTGATAAGCAGCTTTAAATTTTGATAGTAAATCAATCTTTTTTATTTTAGGATTAATGATTTCTGTGCTTTAAGCCAGAAAAATAAAAGAAAAAGAAATGGTTTTGGGAGAAAAATGATGACAGAAACTAGTACATAGAAGGTGCTTACATGTTTGTTGAGTGAATCTCAGCTTCATGTTTAAGAGAAGTATCATAAGCACAATCATCACTTCAATACAATCATTACCATGAGTATAGATTACAGAAAGGCCAAGAGAGATCCTATAATTCATCTTCTCAAAACAGCTTCCAGGTTATTTCTAATAGTCAGTAATGCTTCTTGGAAATATGTTTCTAGTTGATTTTGAATACAACTAATTCTAAATCAACACAAATATTATCATCTGGTCTTCAGTAATTCATTTTATTTATAAGAATGAAAAATGTCTTGTTGAAATAGGATATGGTAAGACCAAATAGCCTATTCAATTGCCTGTGCATTAAAATATTATCAAAACCTAAGCTTCACAGGACTTCTTAATAAAACTCTTAACTCCTAAGGATCATCCTTAAGTCTCAAGTTATCTACTTAACAACTCATTCTAGAATTTATCAGGGCTCAAAACTACACTATCAGATTTTATTCTTCATTCTTTAAGAAGAATAGAACAAAAGCATTTTAATATGTCTTCATTTCCTGTGATTTTGCAAATATTATAGTGATTCATTGACAATTACAATTATTTTAGAACCCTGCAATATAACTGAGTCAGAACACAAAGAACTTATTATAACAAGATGCGTTTAAATTAATTTATCTTGGAAGTACATCCTTTTAAAAAATCAGTTATACTCACCTAACAAATCACTCCCCAAATGAAAAAGATGGGGTTGTCCTATTTTGTTATTTTTTGCTTTAAATGATGCACTATAAATTCCATTTTAAACTACATCAATTGGCTTGGTACACATTTATATAGTTCCAGGTATTTTTGGCTGAGGCAAGAGGATCACTTGACATAAAAGTTCTTGACTTCCCTGGGCAACACACAGCAAAGCCCTATCTCAAA